TACCACTAAATGTAACACCCACAGACTGGTACGGGTGAACCGATCCAATATGAGGTGTCACATTAGGGTCACCAGAGCGACCCACCGTAAAAATTCTAGAAAATTTAAAATTTTTGCTAAAACATGTGAAATCATAAAACAATTTATAAACAAAAAGTAAAATTTAACAATATTCAGAAATAAAACAGATTCCAGAGTTGGATATAAAAACAAAATACAAGTTACATGCCCACTAATCACATGCACCGTACTCCGCAAGCAATGTCAATGGAACTCCTTACAGATGTCTATAGTTGCACTAGTTCAATCCTTTTAACCTAAAAATATGAGTAACATAGTGAACTTTGGGAAGCTCAGTAATGTAGATTGATCTCTGATTTCTACTTTGAACCTTGAAATATGTTATGATCTATGATCTCTATTCAGATTAATGATATCTCTATTTACTGGCTGAAATTATTTTTATACGGGGCACTCTGGGACTCTGGTATGACTGAAGACACTGGCAGGTTCAGTCGCTGTTGGTAATTCCTTGTATAAGTTCAGCATCGACTGGTAATTTCTTATGGACCTAAAGCGACTCTTGAGAGGGCTCCTGGGCCTAACGAACCAAATGGTAAGACCTTATGGACCCTAAGGCACTACCTTAGGGATGGCACCACTGCTATGTGCTTTTGGGTAAGACCTTATGGACCTGAGGGCACTCCCTTCAGGTGGGCACCTACGCTTCGGCTAGGGTAAGACCTTATGGACCCAAGGTCCTCCCTTAGGTTGGCACCTACGCCCTTTGGGCCTAGGGTAAGTCCTTATGGATGCAGTTATGGGGAACTGCATATTGGTGTTCGGTTTGAGGGTTTTACTATGATTTTTTAAAATAAGTTTTAAACTGCTACTATTTTAAAAAGTTCTGTACATTTTTCACTGGTTTTGGGGAATACACTATAAACCCTATTCTGATCTCCTAAACCTGATTCTCTGAATGTTTCCTCTAAATTGTAATCTTCATGCCTGTTACTCGAAGAAATATCCATGGAACCTCAGCTCATTCCGAAAACCTATAGATGTCTGAACCAATAAGGAAAATTATGCTTGCCTATTATCTCAATGTCCTTCAGCATCATTTGGTATTACTGTATTACTGAGCTTCCCAAAGCTCACTCTTTTACTCACATTTTCAGGTTAAAAGGATTGAACGAGTGCAACTATCGACATCTGTAAGGGAGTTCCACCGACGTTGCTTGCGGAGTACGGTGCATGTGATTAGGGGGCATGTAGCTTGTATTTTGTTTTTATATCCAAGTCTAAAATATGTTTTATTTATGAATATTGTTAAATTTAACTGTTGTGTTTATAAATTGTTTTATGATTTCACATGTTTTAACAAAAATTTTAAATTTTTGGAGATTTTTACGGTGGGTCGCTCCGGTGGCCCCTAATGTGACACCTCGGATCGGATCGGATCACCCGTATCGGTCTATGGGTGTTACATGACTTACAGCCGTATCCTCAACCAATCATGTCTTGGAGCAGCTCTTTGTACAGCAAAGTTTTTCAAGAAATTGGTGATTTCCGTCTTTGTGGAAATGGAATCTACAATATTGCTTAATTACATAAATTTCTCTATATTCAACTTCCATGGATATATATGCTTACAGCCTCTGATAAAATGTTCTTTGTTGGATTCAATAGAGCAAAATTCTAGTTCCTCTGCATGCTTCTCAGTTTGTCTATATATCATCCGATGATGATAACCAACGATCACTTTAGAATTTATACCAACCACTTAAAAGGTTAGAATGGTGACGTCTAGTTCTACCATAGGGCACAGTATGGCATCGTTCCGTTATGGAAAATGAACTAATCACCCCGAAATATGGAATCAATTCTGCAAATATATCTCACTCTTTTTTCATGACTGCTCGTGGAGTTGTATCACTGAAACAACATTTTATAGGAAGTTTGTATTCTGTGATGGTAAACATTGGGATCTCTTGTTTTAGATTATGTATTCGGTAACCACAAGTTTGGCGGAAATGCTCAATCCCAAGAATAAGTGGATCCACCTCACATCATTTTTATGGGACTTAGATGCCCGGAACATGGCTTACCTAAAGCTTCCTAAACGAGCTCATGCATATCGATCGGTAAGCTGTTAGTTCTTCAACTTCTTTTTTTCTTGGTTGTTCATGTATTTCATATATACAAGTTTTGCCTGGAAAAATGGTTCACAAGATTTTCCTTGCTACCTAGGCCTCTTCCGGCCTAGGAAGCACGGATACTTGACACGTAAGCTAATACAGTTACAGCATGTCATGTACTTCATCTAACAGAAGTTAACAGAAGTTTAAATGTCTTATCAAAAAATTCAGTCTCCTTTATAAAGAAGTTTAAATTGGTTTAACTCGTATCCAACTCAGTGAGTTTTCTCCTACTATTTCTCTTTCACTGTTGATTCATAATTAGTTGTTAAAAACCATCTTATTTCCTACTTTTCTCCCTACCCTACCACAACCCTCAACCTCTATCGGATTTGGATCCTTTTTATTACATTTGAAAGCAGACAATAGACAAGTATGTCCTACATTTAGGACATTGAGTGTGCCATTATGGTTTACTACAGATCATGCCATCTGTTTCATTTTTAAGCAAGGGACCATTTGGACTTCGTATGCTGACTGAAGGATTAAAATGCCGAGATCAATTTTCATTGACAAAACTGTGGAGGCAGCTGGAACAGAGTTTTTGTTGTGATCTCTCGAGTTGGAAGCGATTGAAACTTGCTCGGAAACAGAATTCCGTCCCTCGACCAGGTTCCTGACAAATGAAGAACTGGAAGTAGCAGCAGCTGTTGCAGGGCAATAACTCGAGCTTCTTTGAAGAATCAGTTTTATTGCTCCGCAATTGTGGCTTGACAGAGGGAAGCATTTTACCGGTCTGCTCGATTTTTATTCTGTATTTTATAATGATTCATGAGGATGACAATCCAACCTTGGCATCGGTTCAATAAAATGTCAATTGCATGTAATCTGGAATTGCAGTGAAAGAAATGTTCCTGTGGAAAAGGGACAATTGGACAATAACAGCATTCAATGTAATCTTTGACTTCCAATTGTTTCCATTTCTGCCTCTGCTTAATCTATATTTAGTTGGTCCAAAAAGATATATAATCAATTGGAAAAAATCATTTTTCCAAGTAATTCACCGAGATGTCAAGATTTTACTGAAATTCGCATTTATGGTAATTACTAGGAAAAATGATGATTCGGATTCAAGCAGAATACAAGTTGCTAAGATGTAATCTGAAAGGGTCCCATATGATCATTTCTAAACCAACAAGAAGAAAGAAAGAGATTTGTGGATATGCCATCTAGATAACGTGATAATCCTTAAATTCACTTGAACCGCTAGATCAACGATATCAAGCAAACCAACCATCAGCATCCACCGTCTAATGACCACCACAGGAATCCCCACGAAGTTGAAATTCAAAGCTTAAGCCATGCTCTAAAAACATCCGTATTCACTTAACACCATACGGGAAAAAATCATGGCCACCGTCACAATGCAAGCTTCCGCCACCGTTTTCCAGCCATGCGCATCGAAAACACGCTTCCTTACCGGTTCCTCCGGTAAGTTAAACAGAGAAGTGTCATTTAAACCAATGGCTTCTCCATCAACTACTAGCTCATTCAAAGTTGAAGCCAAGAAAGGGGAGTGGTTGCCTGGACTTCCTTCACCAGCTTACCTCAATGGCAGGTACGGATTTCAAATCCGAAACTCCTTAGATATCACCTTTTAAAGGCAACCCGAGTTCTTATATCTATGGACTAAAGTTGTAAAGAATTTGTGCAGTCTTCCAGGTGATAATGGGTTTGATCCTCTTGGATTGGCTGAGGACCCTGAGAACTTGAAATGGTATGTGCAAGCTGAGCTTGTAAACGGGCGTTGGGCTATGTTGGGTGTTGCAGGGATGCTTCTTCCTGAAGTTTTCACAAAGATTGGGATAATCAATGCTCCTCAGTGGTATGATGCCGGGAAAGCCGAATACTTTGCGTCGTCATCGACTCTCTTCGTTATCGAGTTCATTCTGTTCCACTATGTGGAGATCAGAAGGTGGCAAGACATCAAGAACCCTGGTTGTGTGAACCAGGATCCTATCTTCAAGCAATACAGCTTGCCCCCCAACGAGTGTGGCTACCCTGGTGGCATTTTCAACCCCCTCAACTTCGGCCCTACACTTGAAGCCAAGGAAAAGGAGCTTGCCAATGGTATACACACATACACATACATGCATACATTCATACATACATATACCTGCCACGGATCTGATTATTTTTGTTGATTGAATTGCAAGGAGCTTGCCAATAGTATACACACACATACACATACGCATACGCATATATGTACATACACAAGATTATTTTGTGTTGATTGAATGTTCAGGGAGATTGGCAATGTTGGCATTCTTGGGGTTTATAATTCAACACAATGCCACTGGGAAAGGGCCATTTGAGAACCTGTTGCAGCATCTCTCAGATCCATGGCACAACACCATCATCAACACAATCAGGGGTTACTAAGAAATGGGTTTGAAGTTGTCCTTTGTTCAGTAAAACTCTGAGTGAAATTTAAGGCATATTAAATGTAAAACAAGGAACTTTCAATGTACAGTGGAACTTCAGATTGCATCTATATGTAGCTATATTATTATTATTGCTCATAATAATTTACACTGCAGATTTAATACAGAACAACAAATTAGGCATCTCAGAAAATTAATTACAGTAAAAGGTCATGTTTTCTTATATTATTACATCTTGAGGAACTGGGAAGTATTCTCAAAACCCCACATGAAAACTGTGTTTATACTACTAAAAAGATAAGAAAAAGAGTTGGTATAAAAAGGACTTAATCATGTGTGAATTACAAAATTACACTAAATATACAAGGAACATGTCCAGCAGCAAAAACTGACCAGGCAATGATAGTCCACCTTTCGTGTGCCGCATGTTTCACCTATCTATCACACGAAACGTCCATGATCCATGGAATGGTTGGATTCCAGTGCATGTCTGTGAGTCCTTCAGCTATAAATCATGACATTGGTCGGATGAAGGTGCCTGGTTCATGAAAATCGATTTAGTTTTTGCTGGAAGATTCAATCTCTTAGGCATTTAACTAAAAGAAGCATTTGAGAAAACAAGTCGAGCATATGCTATTCGATGCCACAGAATCATAATATAAACATAATTTGTTCGAGCCATTTATTTATCTTTGCAGTCATGACATGAGTCTGATAATTTTATAGAAAGAGAATCAAAATGTGAATATCATACAGCAGGATTCAACACATGCGACAGAAGAACCTAAATGGATTTGACATGGATAAACATAGGGAATAAAATCACCGAAATCCAACACTCACCGAAATCCGAGTAACAGATGCATTACTACATGCATAAAATATAAAAATTTCCATGAACATATATCCTAGAATGAAGGATAGAACAGAACAAAAGAAACTCCTCACTTGATGGTAAGAATCCCCATCAAACATTGCAATGCCACAAGGGCCAGAAGAAGATACCCAAGCTTGATGACCATTGTTATACATAGGTCTAGAGATATCGAAGTTGCTAATAACTTGGTTAACTGTGGGATTTCCTTGTAGGTTCGCCTCCATATCGGTCTTCAACTTCTCATCATCTTGGAAATTTGAAGCGCTAAACTGCTGGTAGAAATATTGCTCACCAGCTTCTAAATTTAAGCAAGCATTGTTCCCTAACTCATTCAGGCCATTACATTCATGTACGACATTATCAACTTGACCCGAACTGCTAATCTCTGTTTGCTTACCGGAGCCAAAGAAACCGGAATAACCAGCAAGGGAGCAATCTGTAGAGCACTCTGCATCTCTGGAGCAGAACAAACTAGTCAGCCAATGATATTGAGGAAAATCAAAAATCACAACGCATTTATATGCTACTTTTGAATAAAACGTTGAAGCTAAAAAAAAACCATGTCTCCACAGATAGGCACGAGAGTCTAGGCTATTTTCAAGTAGAAACTTATTTTGGTAAAACTGAATATCCCAAAAAGATGGTAGGAATCGTATTTGAAATATGTATCTTACCGATGAGACAGAAGATTTGGTACATTATGCATTAACATATGTTGATTTTCATTGCTGGGAAGCCACATCACGGGTTGGGCTTCTTGCACCTCACTGATCATTACAGGTGAAGGTATCCTCATCTGAAACTGTAATCCATCATAAATTGTAAGATACCGCAATGGATGGATGGATGAGAGTACTTATTCTTGCTACCTGGTTAGTACATTCAAATGACATAAGATGGTGCTTTCCAAAATTTTCCTGCAAAGAAAGAAGCATGCATAAGCAATTTATCGGTACAATAAATCAATTGACACTCTATAGTTTCTTCCATCAAGGGTCTGATGAATCAAGCAGTCAGGGTGAAGATGTTCAATGGTGTACAAAAGCATACCTTGTGTATCCTAACACGTTCAATGGATTCTCTTAGTGTATCTTCCATCTGCTGAAGATGTTCTACACTGTCAATTCTATCTGGATTACTCCAGTAGCTGAAATCATTGCACGATATCATCAGAGTTATTCCATAGAAGCAAATAAATCATATTATTTCTATTTATAATATGCATTTTTGTTAATGCACATGCAATGCCCAGACTATATAGGTCAAGTTCAGGAAACAGGGAAAAAGGGACAGTTTTAGAAAGCAGATAAGTTACAAGCAAATAAACATTAATTACTACAATCCACAAGATAAGAGGCACATACAAAAAAAAATCGGTCTATTCTGTTTCAGGATGACCAAGCCTTAACCAAGGAAATTTCTTAGACTAAAATTTCCCCATTATTAGTCCCAAAGATAATATACATCATAATTTAACATATGAATCTAGTTCATTCCAGCTATATCTTGACTCCACTCAAATTAACAAGAACCTTGCCGCTTATCGCCCTAGTGTAGCATTAGTTTTGAAACTTCACAATGGTTCAACTAAGGATTTTGTATTGCCTATTCTAATCATTATATTTAAGGTCCAAAGGTTGGAGAGTTAAAAGATGAGGAGAAGCTACTTAAGAAATGAAATAATAATAACCGGGTAACAAAAAAATAGCAAGATGCGACTCTTAGCCCTTGCTAGCCTTTTACAAACAATACTAGAAAGGAAAAAAAATCAATGCTTTAACAACCAAAAGTTCCAAAGTTGCACCTCAGTCTCTTATGTACTTCAGCTAGCTGAGCTCGAAACCTTGAAACTTCATTTGTCATTTCCTGAAAAATAGTAAGTTCCAGACGTAACAAAATTAACAATAACTTGGAAATCAAAGATCAAAATGGATGCATGTGGTTTCAGAAAACTTCATACCTCAACAGACCGACAGCTGCGAGGGGCAGAAAATAAAGAAAGAAATAGAAAAGTTCAGATTCGTCCTAATATTTTACTCAAGCAGAAACACTTATCTGGAAGAAATTGAAAAATAAAGGTTACGTACGTTGCACCTAGAAAGTCCTGTATGTTTAGATCATGATCCAACTTCATGAAGGTTTTCTTTAGTGCCTATAGTAACAACCACAAAACCCAAAAATTAACATGATGAAAGGGTAATAAAACTTTAATCTTCACTTTGTAAGTAAGGGAGCATAACATATTGGAGAATATGAGTTGCAAGGAGGCTTACTTCGAGGCTCTCCAACTTCCTGTTGCAGACCAAAAAAAATCAGTTAGATTTAATGTCATTTCATATGAACAGACTAATTAATTAAAGACGTTCAAATATCAGATTGCTCACCTTTTTGCCCTTTCTTGTGGAGTTAATTGTGCGAACTTCGCAATAACCTCTTCAATATTGCTGAAAAAGGCAAACAACCAGAATGAGCCTCATTTGTAACCGTACTCTATTTCTTCTTCAAACATAGATAACTAAACATATAAATATAAGATTATTTGGACGGCCATATAACCAGGACTATTTTAAAGCACTTGATATACACCTGAACTATGTGTTACTAGGTGAATACAGAATCACCGTAACAGATTCTGATACGTAGTTGTATACTTCTAACTAGAAAGAAAAACCAAATATGGCACGAGTCCAGAGATCACAACAGCAACAGGTACGTCAATAAAATCCTAGTCCACCAAGCTTACTAACTAGCTGGATTAATACGAAAGTTGCCTAATGATACAAATGTGAGGGAAAACCTGCAAAATTTTGTATCTTTATTTGCAGTTAGTTTTAAGCATGCCCAAATTACCACTATAGCTTCTACTTCTACGGCAAAATGAAGCATAAACATCTTGCGAAGCATAAATTAGGCCATCCAAGAAAATGGAACAACATTTTCATTCTTACAATACCTGCGCTCTCCATGGAATAACGTAGGCTTTCCAGTTGGAGAAAACATTAGAAGGATAATATGAATGTCACATAATATCGATAATTCCTTAGCTTTCTTCAAGATTCCGGTCCTGCGTTTCGAATATGTAACTTGCCTGTTGCTATAGCTCTCTAACCTTTTTATCTTTAGTTTAACCCTTCCCATCCTGCAAACTCTCAACAAATCCGACGACATTTGTTAACCCAGTGTTTCATTCTAAGTTCAGAAATCTCAACATTTACTCAATTTAATCAAGCAAAGAAAATAAAGTTATGTAACTGAAGCTCCCATTCCAGGCACCACCATTATATAACCATATGATCTTCAATAGAATTTCCTTTTATAAATATGAGATTATAAGACATTATTTGTTCAAAGATTCTCAAGCTCGTACACCTGCATCTTGGACCTCAAAGTAAAAATAATCCCTTAACCTTAAAGTAGCTTGGTTCGTACAAAAATTCTTAAATATAAAAGAAGGATAAACATAAAAAGAAAAAAGGAAATAGCATTGGTTGCACCCATGATCACGTTCCCTTTACCACATAAACACCACATCTTATCAAACAACAAAAAGACATTGTTTTTAAGGGTAGATATGATCAAACTTGAAATAACAACAGCATTACAAATTAAGAAATAACAACAAAAGGAGAAGCCTTTAACTGGCCAAAAAAGAAAAGACAGAATTTACTAATTAAAAGAAAACCCAGTTACAGAAATGAAGTAAACACAGATAAGAAAATCATTGATGAAAAGAAATGAATAAAAAAAAAAGTAATGGATTGAATAAGAGAGACAAAAAGAAGAAATCCTTACAGTGAAGCTAAAGGGGAAAGAGAATAAAAGGAAGAAAAGAAAAGAAAAAAAGGGAACTAGAAATAGAAAAGGCTTGCAAAGGAGGAGGAGAGGCCAAGCTGTGATTTCGATGGATAGAAAGAAGGGGACCAGCCAGAAAACAATTTCGTTTCTTCGGGGAGAGGTAGACGGTGAAGAGAGCCAAGCAAATCAGCGGTGAAATGTTCAATTACACATTTAAAACAAACTAAACATTGTCCCCTTTTGAGTTAATGTCAACACTCTTTTGTTCGAGGTGCTAACGTCATATACAACCATCAACTCCTTTTTCCCCAACAGATTTAATGGTCCTTTTACGATTAATATTTCAATTAATGTTATGGATTATTATTTTGGCAAAATATTAAAATTAAACTCTTATATTTATTAAAATGATCATTTTGATTCATATTCTTTTTTTTAGAGGATTTTGACTCTTAACGTATCATTTTGGGACAAAAAGTTTTTCCATGGGTTAGCGCTTCAAAATAGAGGCTTTTTATCCTAAAATAAAATGTTTGGGGGCTTAAAAATGCTCTAAAATAAAAGAATAAATGTCAAAATGACTATTTAATCAAACATTAAGAGTCTTTTTTTCCTAAAATGAGACATTGGAAGTCAAGATATTAAAAATGTGAGTCAAAATGATTATTTTAATAGATATTATGAGCTAATTTTGACATTATGTCTTTTTTTATTAAGCTAGGGTGATTACAAATTAGTATATATTCTAAATATTCTAAACCATTTGATAATAAATGCTCAATCACCCTGCTGCAGTCGTTGGTGCTTAAACCTAGGGGTGAACATTCGATCGAGTCAAGTCGAGTCAAAAAATTTCAAGTTGACGAGTCGTATTTTACAACTTGAACTTAACTTGAATTTTTTCGAATCAAGTCGAGTCATTCGAGTTTCTATCTAATTTTATTATAATTATTTATAGTATTATGACAAGTATTTGTTTCAATTTTTTTACTTTCTCTAACCGTATATATATATATATATATATATATATATATATATATATTCTTTTTCACACTATAATTTTATTTAATATATTAAATACAATATAAAATTATAAAATATTGATCATAATATAAAGGAGTCAATGAATTGATGGGAAGAAAGAATATGCAAACAATTGTAGTCAAAAAACCAAATTGAGTAAAATGTAAAATTAAAGGACTAAATAAAGAAAGAGAGAGATAGAGTATTTTTTTTAGTAAAAAAGTAAGAATTGAAGTTACATAGTTACTTCATTGTGGTATATGAGCATATGATTCAATTTTGATAAAAAAAAATAGACTTAAAATAAAGGATGGGTTGAAGAAATAAGGAAATTATGAAAAATTGAAAGACTAAATTGAAAACTAGAAAATTTGTTATAAAAAATAGGAAAGAGGAACTGAAAGTACATATGTATTCTACAATGGTTTAGGAACATATGGTTCAAATTTGGTAAAAAGTGGACTTAAAATAAATAAGAAATTGAAGAAATAATGAAATCATGGACTAAATTGTAAAACTGTAATACCCATATTCTATATACGGGTATGTATACGAATGTCACATTAATTAAAATATTATATACTTGTTATGAAAATCCTTTAAAATTTTGTTGCAAACTTAATTCCACATAATTAACATCATAAATACAGGTTTATGAAAACATAATACAAAATATTTGGTTGTATTTGATTACATGCCAAACAGGTTCCAAAATGGTTATTAAAGTCCTAATGTTATTGAGGAGTCAACTTTAGTAGATAATGTCTGCGGCTACAACTTCACTCCTTAATTGATGATTATCTGTCGTTACCTATACGTGGAAATACACATGATAAGTATAAATTAATGAGTCATGATATAATAAATAACCTTTGGTGTTCAAACATATTTTATTTCCCATTTATCAAAACCATTTGCCATGATTCTTTCTTTTCGTTTGAAACCTCCATTTATGTTTATAATACATCATTATGCATTTTAAACTATAACATCTTTTCTGTTAATAAAGCACCTATATACATTTCAACTATAGTATACTGTTATGTTGATAATGTACCCATATACATCTCAACCATAGTATACTTTTATGTTGATAATGTACTCATATACATTTCAACTCTAGCATACGTTTCTGTTGATAATGAACCCATATGCATTTCAACTATAGTATACTTTTCTGTTCATAATGCACCCATATGCATTTCAACTCTGGCATCCTTCCATGCCACTAATACACCCATATGCATTATACTTTTATGCTGACAATGTACCCATATACATTTCAGATATGGCATCCTTTTATGCCAATAATGCACTCATATGCATTATTCTTTTATATTTATTTTAGAGCAGTTCATACTCTAAAACCTCATTCACACATCAATTTCATATATTCCATAACACATGATAATTTCAGTAAAATATACATTAACATATAAATATATCATTCTAAATAATTTCTAATCATATTCATTTAAATTACATACAATAAATGTACTCACCTGACTTTCCTTGTTCAAAGTCCAAAAGTGAAGATGATTACTGCGGAACTTGGCCCTTGCCTTTTTGTCTTACTCGACTCAGGAACTTGATTTCGATCTATCCCACATTCATTAAATACATGAGTAATATCAATTGTTAGTGTATTTCCTAACAATTATAACTTAAACATTAATCAAAATATTGATTATTAACTTTTCTACAACAATATCAACACAAATTGAAATTTCTGGCCCTCAGGTATCGATACCCCTACTATGGTATCGATACTACCCTACTATGGTATCGATACCCCCTACCAGTATTAGTACCAAAATTAGATTCGATGTGGTCCAGTATCAATACCCTTACTATCGGTATCGATACCTCTATACTATGGTATCGATACCCTTACTATGGTATAGATACCAAAATTAGGTTCGATGTTACCCGGTACCGATACCTTCACCATGGTATTGATACCACTTCATTAGGTACCGATACTGATTGAATCAGTATTGATACTTCTCAGATGATTTAACCTAATTTTTGCCTATGGTATCGGTACCATTACTAATTTTTGCCTGAGCATCAATGCCATCACAGATGATTCTATTGGAGAATGCTCATTGACATCAATTCGTCCATGTCCTCTTGATTATGTGGAAAGCAACTATACTTTTGAAGAACTCCCTGTGTTCTATAAGCACTTTTCAGAGTAATGCATAAATAAAAAATATGTCTTTTAACCCAAATATAATGGGACTGTTGTTATTTGTCATGGTTTTAATAAAATGGTGTTTTATCTTCATAGAAAATATTGCATTCAATTATTTAAATTCTTAATTATTTATTGATACTTATTCTTTTGGTAAATAGTAAATAAAAGTTTTGTCCATAGCCAAATATATTTTTTCCATTCGCAGGTCCTCATATATCAACTGTTCGAATAATGATATTCCCAAACCATAAATTAATTTTGAAAATGACATATGTCTTGAAGAATCTTAGGGTTATAAAGATGATGAGGAATGTGAGTTAAACTCTGAACTTGTTAGAATGATGGAGCAAGAAGATAGACAAATACTGCCCCATAAAGAGAAAACTGAAACAATAAATTTGGGAACAAAAGAGGATAGAAATGAGGTCAAAATTGGCACTTCGCTATCACAAGAAACGAGAGAATATCTTATAAGCCTTCTAATAGAATGCAAAGATGTGTTTGCTTGGTCTTATCAGGATATGCATGGATTGGATACTGACATTGTGGTACACAAGCTACCGATAAAATCAGAATGTAAGACTGTTCAACAAAAACTTCGAAGGATGAGGCCAGATATGCTATTAAAGATAAAAGAAGAAGTAAAAAAATAGTTTGATGCTGGTTTCTTATAAGTGGCCAAATACCCTGAATGGGTAGCAAACATAGTGCCAGTCCCAAAGAAAGATGGCAAAGTTCGGATGTGTGTTGACTACCGGGATCTCAATCGAGCGAGCCCTAAAGATAATTTTCCACTCCTACATATCGACACTTTGGTTGACAATACGGCTGGTCATGCTCTTTTCTCCTTCATGGATGGTTTCTCAGGGTACAATCAAATTAAGATGGATCCTGAAGACATGGAGAAGACAACGTTCGTGACGATATGGGGCACCTTTTGTTACAAGGTGATGCCCTTTGGACTTAAAAATACCGGGGCAACATATAAAAGAGCCATGGTTACTTTGTTCCATGATATGATGCACAAAGAGATAGAAGTATATGTGGATGATATGATTGACAAATCACAAACTGAGAAAGAACATATGAAGGTCTTAAGGAAGTTTTTCTTGAGGTTGAGAAAATATCAGCTTAAACTTAACCCAACCAAGTGCACTTTTGGAGCTACTTCAGGGAAATTATTTGGATTTGTAGTCAGTGAAAATGGGATAGAGATAGATCCTGATAAAGTCAAAGCAATATTAGAACTATCAGCCCCTATAACGCAGAAAGAAGTACGAGGGTTTCTAGGGAGATTAAATTATATTACTAGATTAATCTCTCAGTTAACTGAGAAATGTGATCCAATTTTCCATTTACTGAAAAATCAAAACCCAGGAGAGTGGGATGATAGTTGCCAAGAATGTTTTGACAAAATTAAGAGTTATTTGACTAATGCCCCAGTATTAATGTCACCAATCACTTGACTGTCTTTGAGAAGTCAATGGGATGTGTATTGGCACAACATGATGAGACTGGAAGAAGAGAACGAGCTATTTACTATCTTAGTAAGAAATTCACTGACTGTGAGACTCTATATTCCTCGATTGAAAAGCTGTGTTGTGCCTTAGTATGGACTACTAAGAGGTTGAGACAATATTTGTTGTATCACACCACCTGGTTGATATCAAGGTTGGATCCACTAAAATACCTGATGGAATCAACAGCTTTAACTGGAAGGATGGCAAGATGGCAAATGTTGATGTCTGAATTTGATATAGTCTATATGAATCAAAAAGTGGTGAAAGGAAGTGTTATTACTGATTTCCTAGCAAGCAGAGCATTAGAAGACTATAAGCCAGTAAAATTTGATTTCCCAAATGAGGACTTAATGAGTATATTCACTGCGGAAGAAGATGCTCCGAAACATAAAACCTGGAAAATGAACTTTGATGGTGCCTCGAATGCTGTGGGGCATGGAATTGGGGCAATACTAGTTTCACCAGAAGGAGA